CTAGAGAATCATACACAGAATCAGGTGAAAAAGAAGGAGAAAATGAAAAGAAAATTTCAAAATTAAATATTCCAAAAAAATTAGCTCTAGACACTAGTTTTATTAAATTAAGTGCACGGCCTTCAGGAAATCAAACAAATTTAGAAGGGAGTCTAGAAAGAGTCAGGAGAAATGATCCAGAAATGACAGAACTCAACTTAAACAACATTGAGAACATCCCCAAGGAGATGCTAGTGGACTTTGTCAATGCCATGAAGAAGAACAAGCACATCAAAACATTCAGTTTAGCCAATGTTGGGGCAGATGACAACGTAGCTTTTGCTTTGGCCAACATGCTGCGTGAAAATAGGAGTATTACCACTTTGAATATCGATTCCAATTTTATCTCTGGAAAAGGGATTGTTGCCATCATGAGATGCCTGCAGTACAATGAGAAGCTTACGGAGCTACGTTTCCACAATCAGAGAAGTATGTTGGGTCATCAGTCCGAAATGGAGATTTCTAGACTCCTGAAAGCCAACCCTACACTTCTTAAGATAGGCTACCACTTTGAACTTCCAGGACCCAGAATGGTGGTCACTAATCTCCTCAGCAGAAACCTTGATAAGCAGAGGCAGAAAAGGATGGAGGAGCAAAAACTGCAACAGTTAAAGCAGCAGAAAGAACTCATTGCCATGTTGGAGAATGGACTTGGGTTGCCTCCTGGGATGTGGGAATTGCTAGGAGGACCGATACCGGCTTCAATGATGCCTCTTTCAATGCAACCTCCAACGACACCAGTGCCCAAAGCCCCACCTGTTGCCCGACGAAATGAACCAGCTATAAGAGAAAAACCTGAACAGGAAAGTAGTACTGACCTTCCTGCTTTCAAGATAGTGAAGCTCAAGAGGACAAAGCGTAAACCTTCTATCCAGGAATATGTAGAGCCAGCTGAAAAAACCAATCTCAAAGATGTGATTAAGACCCTAAAACCTATTCCGAGAAGGCGGCCCCCTCCTTTGGTTGAGATCACTCCAAGAGACCAGCTACTTAACGATATTCGCCAGAGTAATGTAGCTTATTTGAAACCGGTAAGTATTGGGTGACCCAAGGAAGAACCAATGTGTTGCACTATGAGTAAGTCCCTCTTAGCTGTTGATTTGATTGCTGCTCTTAGAAAAGGCAGAATTAACAGCTGATAAAAGATGATTAGTATTATAGATAGTCCTCAGCTTGCAACCACAATGGAGCCCACCCATTATAGTCATAAGTCATAATAGTCGTAAAGCAGGTCATTGATTTTACTACCGTTTTTGCAGTGATTGTTAAGTGAATGTTGTGGTCATTAAGCAAACCCATTGTGGGGTTTTTTTCCCACCAAACACTGGAAGGAAAAGTCAGGTTTTGGCAAAAAACATCGCAAATCACAGTCACATAATCATGTTTAAATGTTTATAAATGCCAATTTGCCAAACACCTGGAATGTAGTCATGTGACCACAGGAATGGGGCTGTCCATTAGAACTTCAGAACTGGGTTGTAATTACCTTTTGGGGTAGAGGTCTGTGGTAACTTTGAACAGATGTTACATGACCAATTGTAAGTCAAGGACTACCTCTAAAAGCTGTCCTCTTTCACACAACAATTCAATTTTAATTATCATATGATTACTTTGCTTCAGTAGGGAGATAGGCAGCTTCATGCTTTTCAGATATTTTGGACTTCGGCTCCCACCAACATGGTTACAGGCAACAAATTATGGAAACCATAATTAAAAAAAATCTGGGAGACACCAGCAAAATGTCTACTCTTGGATTATCTTCTAACTGTAATCATGAGTAAACATTTGCAAGTATAAGTAAGGGGAAGGAAGCATTTTTCTGCCATTATTACTAAATAATTATTATTAGTAAATAAAAACAGAAACCCTTTGGATTCCCTGTAGATGATTTAGAAATCTATTATCAGCTCCACATCTACGTTCTGCTCAGCCATACAAGCCATTTTACAACAACAACTATGGTATAGAACATGGGTCTCCAACCTTAGCAACTTTAAGACTTGTGGACTTCAACTTGTGGAATTGAAGTCCACAAGTCTTAAAGTTGCTAAGGTTGGAGGAATTGATCTTTTCATATTCCCCTGCTCATATCATTTTTTGTAGAATAAGATTTTCTTTGACTAAAATTAGAAAGAGTCCATGCTGAGAAGCATTCTATAATGCTTAAATGGTTTTCTATACGTTGACCTGTGAATACAGGAACATTCTTGTCAAGGGGTGAATAATCAATAGAAACAAGGAGGCAAATTAGTACATTTCTAAGTTGCAGATGCTTGGAATATGCCCATAAATGGTGATTACTAATGCTAAGTATCCTTTTGCTACATAATCTGATAACAAAAAATGAAATTGCAACACCTTATAACGATCTCTAATAGTGTTATATGGGCTTCAACTTAAAGCACTTGAAATACTGTATCCATACATGTTTCTGTGTTTCATGCATGCACCTGCATACCCTCAAGGAAGCAGATCAAAGAAAATTAACGATTTGCTGCTTCACTAGTTTGATTTTTCCTTCTCTAGCCGCTGCACTTGAGAACGTTTCCTTCAAAGTTGGTATGAGGCTTCTCAAGTAACATCAGTACTGAAAGCACTGTAGGAGATGAACTGCATTTTCTGCCACAAACCCCCTCTTCTCATTTACACAGCAGGCTGGGTTTTATATCCAACCAGTTCTGGATTCAATGTCTCTCTTTAGATTGATTGGGATGCCTCAGAAGCTCTCACATGGGGCAAGGCCAGTATGTTGCACCTGTTAATGAGTGAAGTCATTCCCCAGTAGTAAATTATGCCATCCTCAGAGGTGCAGATATGTTTCCAAGGTCAAAATCACGGAGCGTATACTACAGCCAGTGGTAGTTCTTTGCACTATGGAATTATGGGTAAATTGTCTTTCAGAAAGAGAAAATGTAGGAAAATCCTAGTCCATTTCAAATGTGATTGATTGATCAATTGATTGATCTCCTGTCTTTATTATTTGGATAAATAACACGAGGCAATGAACATATCTAATATACTTTCCCCCTCCTACTTTCCTCACAACAACAGCCCTGTTGTGGTGGGTTGGGCTGAGAGAGAATGACTGGGCCAAGATCACTTGGTGAAGGCTAGAAATGGGGTGGGGTGGGGGAGAACTAGAACAGGAATTGCAAATCAACCCTAAAAAATACAATTCATTAGTAATGATAAGATTAAAAAATGCATTGAGATAAAGACTCAACACAGACTTGGGTATAACTGAGTTTAAGTTCTGATTAAGGTTTTCAAAAAAAAAAATCTGACAAGAAAGTATTAACACTTTCTTGTCAGATTTTTTTTTTTTGAAAACCTTAATCATTACTTAAAATAACAATTGCACTGAACTAAACCTGGCACAAAAAATGGTGGCAATTATTACAACCTTAAGGATTTTTACCAGCTACATAAAATGTGATAAAGCTGTTCCCAAACTCTTTGTGTCCGATTATTATGTTACTTGTATTCAGTAGCCACTTTGCTGTAAGGTGGAAACACAGTTTGGTGTGGGATACCACCACAGTTAATGTTTTAGTTTTGGAACAGCAAAATCCTGGGTTGTTGAATAGCATTTCTCTGCAACCAAGTTATTTTAAGAAAAATAGTTTAGCTTCACTATATGTTTTGTTGAATAGAGCTGCTTTGATGTTTTGCCAGAAAGTATGTCAAGAAATTGTTTTCAAATTTACTGTGTCTTTTACAGCATATATGGCTGCTTATATAATTTAAAAGCTTTCTATCTTTCTCTCTGGTCATTCCCTTCTCCAATTCATACATTTTATTACAATTCCCACAGGTACCTGTTCCCAAAGAGCTGGAATAAAGCACCCTGTTCTGCTGAAGGAAACAGCTAGAAAAATAACCAGACTATTTAAATGTTGCTTCAGAGAGTTTCAGGAATTGATTTCTTCAGCAGGGTGTCATGAAGACATGGGAACAATGTTTAAAATACGTGGTCTGTTGAAGTGATGATTGCTGACTTATGATCTCAAGCAACCAGATGTATGTTTATTTTTGGGAGAGGCACAAGTGGAAAGGGGCTACTTCACCTGTCTCTTTTAATCATTGTGCCATCCTTGTCATCAGTTCTTCAGGAAAATGGATTGTGTGTGACCTTCTCTCCTACATTTTACAGAAGCACATTGGACATCCTGTTGTGGTAATATTGTTTCATTCTTCCACTCACCTGTAGTTGTGGGGCATACCTGCCTGTTTTAAAACCGTATCTTTTTGTTAACCACAACTAATTTTATTTTTGTTAGATGAAGGATGTTATAAGAGAAATAAACAGGAACTTTCAGATGAATATATCTGTCCTTAGCTTGAGATAACTGCTATGGAGATTGTATAAATAGCACATACCACGTGCTTAGAATAGGGATTTCTCGTCTCAAAATAAGTATTTCTTTTTAAGATTTATGAACTTTATTCAGTCTCTAAGAAATGCTAGCAAAGAATCCAAAAGTGAAGTTACAATAACAACTCTTCCAACAAGTCTAACATAGCTATTAGCTATTCTTCTCTTCACTTGGTTTTAGCACATGTACAATTTATTCCAAGAACAACCAGGGATGTTCTCTTTGGTGGAATTTTGCTATGATAACAATTCCATAGGAATAGCTTGGTAGTGCTAACTTTATATAGAATAGTAATACAAAAGCCTGAAAGGACTGTCTCTATCTTAAAACTGATAAAGTAATTTTACCAATGGCAAATGTCAACCAAATGGGGTGCCTGTTAATTATTTATTGGAGCGATGCATTTCAGAGACACGTCTATTTAAATAAGGACATTAAGGGAACATTGTTCAAAATTATAATGGCATTTCTATGTACTAAATACAACTTTATTATTTTGTAATTTAATTAAAATGACAAAGCTGTAAACTAAGCCAAATACTGGAAGAACCAATGCATTGTAAGACAACAAGCAAATCAAATGTAGGTCGCTAGTCTTTTAATGCTGGAAAACACACACATATTCTCCACCAAATAATTTGTTGCATTTTATAAATAAGTTTACAGTCAGCATGTAATAAATAAAATGTTACTATTTTAGTTCCCGTTCCAGAAGGAAGAGCTAGGGAAAGAGAGTTACAGAGCTAACATTAGTTAATATCAGTCTCGTAAACAGAGAATTGGATGAGTTTTTCTTCCAAGCTGCTATTTGCAGCATAAATAATGTTGCATGTAAGTGGAACAGAAAAGGAAAGTAAGAAGTTTGCAGTATTTTAAATATTATTTATTTTTCTTGCACAAAATTTAAATTAAGTGTCATTATGAGATATTAACAAATACTAAGATTTGCTTTTCCAGTCATACACTCAATAAGATTCATAATTCTATGTAATGGCAGATCTCAAGCCTGATAATGACTAAATATTATTACTAAAGCATGTATATCTGTATGTGGGCATACACAGAAAATCATGTCCCCCTTGTAACAAAATCTGCCCCACATTCTTCATATGCATACAGAAAGAACAAAGAAGGAATGTTATTGGCTAGATGTTATCTATGCAAGCTTACAACTCATGCAGGGGGAAAAAAGGAATCAGCTGCTAAATAGGAGCAGATTCAAATATCCCACAACAAAATGGGCATATCATATTTCTATAATTGCAGGTCTCTATTTCTCCATAGGGAAACCACATCCCATTCAAAAGGTGTATCAGGATATACATAAATTAGATTTAATTTTGCACTCAAAAACAATAGTTTGGATATGTGCAGTAGCACACAGTTATGTTGCTTAAAGGTAAAAAGAATACTGTGCATTTAGAATTGCCGTAAAATATGGAGTTTGGAAAATACTTAACACAGAGATCAAAGAATCTGAAAGAAGTGAAGTCTACATTTCCACACAGGAGTGAGTGCCATAAATTACCCAATGCATTTGTATCTCAGACACTTTTGACATAAATGGGATATTACCACCCTGTGCTGAGGGAACCCACATGAATTGGGGTGTTTTATTTTGCCATCCTTCACTCTTGCAGTCTGCATCGATTTCCGCTCACAGACTGAGAAATGAGGTGGACAAAATGAACACATTCCCCAACATGCAAGCTGCATGTTTAATCCTTTGCTTTAGCCAGGTAATCGGCTAGCTTGGAAATGGTCTCCTCCTGCTGTTCAAGAAGATCCAGGATAATGCCCATGGGAGTCTTCTTTAAGCCAATGCTTTCTATCTTGTTCTCCATCTTGTTCTTTAAATTTCGAAGCCTCAAAGATGCATGAAGAAACATCACTAGGGAAAGGAAAGCAAGAATAAGCCACAGGTATTCTTCACTAGATAACTGGCAAAAAAGATTTGACACTGTTACAATGGCAACCAACAAAACTGCTTTATTGACATACTGCAGTAATTTAAAAAAACCCATAATTGATCAACGAAGCTACAATAGTCTAAACTATAAACTCTGGTTTATAAGCCATAAAGATGCACTCAAATATCGAGTCAAAACAAAAAACAAATACCATGAGCCACATTTTGTGTATGATCTGTAACCCAGTCAATTTTTTAAAATTGAATATCAAAATTGTCATATAGCATGCTAAGTCCTAAAATGTTTTGTTTGATTTGGCATTCTTAACAGATTGTATGAACCCAACCACTGAAACTTGTGAACTAAAGTTTATGGTTTATTGCAGTGTTTCTTAGCATTGATGGCTTGAAGACATGTAAGGCTTCAATTCCCGAACAATAGCTGGCTGAGGAATTCTGGGAGTTGAAGTCCACATATCTTCAAGCGCCAAGGTTGAGAAACACTGGCTTAGTGCACTGAGTGAACCAAACCAATTGCGGTTTATTGCGTATTAACGGTTTCAATATCATAGCTTAACATATGTCAACCACATCATTCAATGTACTCATAAAGAATCATTATGTGTTTGTGAGACTCCTCATCCTGGATCAACAGAAATAGAATTAACAGCCTCTTGTTCAAGTTGAAATTGTAATTGACTAGCTCTGTACGCGTGCTTCACAACAAAACTATGTGATTGGGCTTAGTTTTGGGGGAGGAAAATAAGGGGGTGGAATTGTGCCTCTGCCTACCAGTATCCATCGGTATTCATTTGGCTAGTGTCCTGTCAGTGTGTGAGACAGCTGAGAGCTATTTGGAAACTGAAACAGTATTTGCTGTGTGAGCAAGCAGGAGACAGCAAGGAGCCTGGGCGTGGCTTAGCTCAACTGTTCTGTACTAAGGCTGGTTGCTGCTGTGAAACTAAAACTGAAACTCCTCTCCTATGCTGGTATTTTGCATTTGGAACACATTTCTTTTCAGGTGGGAAGGGGGAGCAGAACTTCTTAGCATCAGAGCGTGTTAATAATAGTATAGGAAATACTATTGCTCTGATGGTCGCTTTGAAAAATCCTTTCTTAGTGAGCACCTAGAAGCCAAGAGGAACATACATGCCAAATTTTAAGTTTGTAGGCTTTACGGTTCTGGAGATTTTGTGATGATGCCATGAGTGGTATTTTGCTTTTATATATATAGAAGATAAGTAAGTCCTTTCTAAGATTCCTATTAGCAACATTTTTGGCTAATCTAGCAACTGGGAAAAACAAAATCCACATGGGAGCAAAATATTATCATGCATACACACAATGTAACATTTATATTTTTCAGGTCCTTGATTCTGAATGAAGAGATTATTAATTTTTTTGTTATGCTGGTGATGGAGTTCTGCAATCTAGCCTAGTCCAATTAATGTAATATTAGTTCATCTAAAATGAACAGCTAGCCAGGTATTTATGTATTTATTAATCCAAATCATATAGCCACCAGTCTAGCCCCAAAAACTCTTGGTGGCAAACAAGCTAAACGTGGCAGCAGGCTTCACAGTTACAACTGTTAACCCTGCCATCTGGACTGTAAATAAAGATCTCTGCACCTGAATATCACCAGTAAAAACACCTACTCATGTCTCTGTCTATTTGCAGTTAATGAGAAATGTTTCTTGACACCTAACGTTGTACGGAGAGAAAGGAAAGCAGCTGCAGAAGGCACTGACACTCAGCTTTATGCTTTAGGCTATGGACAATGTAAGAAAAACTCACAGAACAAAGGAAACGTGATGCCAAACAGAAACACCAAGACGCCTCCGAAAAAGGATATCAGGATGTAGCTCAGCAACATAACTGCCATGACAAAAGCAGCAGGGTAGTGCTTCTTAAACTTGCAAATGAAGTCTTTTTTGTGGGATGCGCACACGAATGCTGTGAAGACCAGGATCACCACCAAGATGCCAAGCAGCATTTTCAGGGGATTCAGAAATCTGCAAAGATACGGACAATGGTGAACAGGACTAGGAAGTGAGAACAAGCGAGAATGGCACAAGAGGACAAGCTGGCTTCTTCGTACCCAAGCAAACCACTGAGCCACTTGGCTTCAGACTCTCCCTCTGAACTGTATGGCTGCCTGCGAGCTTTTTTTGGTGTGTGTGTGTGTGTGTGTGTGTGTGTGTGTTTTTGTGTCCTGTGACTTCTGAATGCCATACAACAGAGGTGGTATTCAGCAGGTTCTGACCAGTTCTGGAGAACCAGTAATGGAGATTTTGAGTAGTTTGGAATACCACCTCTGACTAGCCCTGCCCCTATTTATTCTCTGCCTCCCAAGTCCCAGCTGATCGGCTGGGTCTTCTTTTGTTGCCCTGCACAGGAAAACGGAGCTGGAAAGCAGGTTAGTGGGGTGGGGAGGGAATGGGGGTTTTGCAGTATCCTTCCCCTGCCACGCCCACCAAGTCACATCATGCCCACCAAGCCACGTTATGCCCACTAAACCACGTCCACAGAACCGGTAGCAAAACCTTTCAAATCCCACCACTGCCATCCAAGTAATCCTCAATTTGCAACCATTTGTTGAGTGATTGATTGCTCGGAGTTACTATAGCACTGAAAAAAGTGACATACAATCATTTTTCATGCTTATAATTGTTAGTACTATCCTAATCACATGATCTGGTGGTGTGAACAAAATTCAGAAGCTTGGCAACTGGCATGTATTTCTGAAGGTTTTAGTGTCCTGGGGTCACGTTATCTTTTGCAATCTTCTGTCAAGCAAGGTCAATGGGGAAACCCAGTGGCGGATTAAGGCTCACTGGTGCCCTGAAAAATCTTGGGGCCCCCCTCCTTTGTACATACTGTACAACTGAAGCCATCTTCTCAACTCTGTGGTGCCCCCTTTGGGCCTGGTGCCCTAAGCACGTGCTTAGTCTGCTTAATGGTTAATACACCACTGGGGAAACCAGATTCACTTAACTCTGTTGCTAACTTAACAACTGCAGTGATTCGCTTAACAACTGTTTAAAGAAAGGTCCTAAAATGGGACAAAGCTCATTAAATAAATAAACCAGGCCCTTGGCAAGGGAGACAAAGACTTCTTCCCGGGCATGTATTCCTATCAGTTTATGATTCCTGCTATATATTATTTTCTTTTAAAATGACCACAATATTTCCTTGTTTTGATTCAGAACAGAATAACAGAGTTGGAAGGTACCATTGAGATTTTCTAGCCCAACCCCCCTGCTCAGGCAAGAAGTCCTATATCATTTCAAACAAATGGTTGTCCAATCTCTTTTTAAAATCTTCCAGTGTTGGAGCATTTACAACTTCTGGAGGCAGGTTGTTCCACTGATTAATTGTTCTAGCTATCAGGAAATTTCTCCTTAGTTCTAGGTTGCTTCTCTCCTTGATTAGTTTCCATCCATTGCTCCTTGTCCTGTCCTCAGATGCTTTGGAGAATAGATTGACTCCCTCTTCTTTGCGGCAGCCCCTTAGATATTGGAACACAGCTGTCATGTTACCCCTAGTCCTTCGTTTCATAAGACTAGGCATACACAATTCCAGCAACTGCTCTTTATATGTTTTAGCCTCCACTCCCCTAATCATCTTTGTTGCTCTTCTCTGCACTCTTTCTAGAGTCTCAACATATTTTTACATTGTGGCGACCGAAACTGGATGCAATATTTCAAGTGTGGCCTTACCAAAGCTGTATAAAGTGGCATTAACACTTCACGTGATCTTGATTCTATCCCTCTGTTAATGCAACCTAATCCTTCTGTTATTGCAGATAGTTGAAAGCTTCCCAAAGCCACTTAAGAGTCAGATAGAACACAAGTTTGAAAAATAATTAAAATGAAGTTGAACAGCAGAATACAAACACTGCATTACAATTTAAATAAATAAGATGGTTTTAAAGTTATTTGCATCTCAAACAACAAAAATAGCTCAGGAAGTACCGATAACTATTTAAACTCCAAATGGCAGAGAAGTATAGTTAGTGAATCATTAACAATGAAAAATATATACACTAAGTCTCTTGAACGGTTGTCTTCATTTATATGACACTCTGTCTCTTTGTCTGTCTCTCTGTATGTCTCCCTCTCACTCTCTGTGTTATCTAATTCAAGTATTTTTTCCATTTTCTCTAAAACATCCTCCAGAAATGCAGAGAACAAGTCATACCTAAACAGTATGGCAGACATTTAATTGGGGAAGACTGATCCACAAATTTCATCATCCTTATCTGCATCAAAGGAAACTATAGTTTGACCGCTGATCGCAGCTAAACTATTGGAAAAGTTTTGAAAAATAACATCATGATCTATCTTTGTTTAGTCAACCAAAGTAAATCAAAGGCAACTTTTACAAGACAACATGGAAGAACAGACCACTAGACTTTTGACTATGGTCATAGTGAAGTATCCATAATAATGTGACACTATGAAGTATACTTGGGTTTCAAGCTATGTTCTAGGCAAAAAATATGTCCTGTTCTAAACTGCCTAGTTTGTGAATGAACCATTCTTGCTGTCCTATCCAAAGCTTAGTCTGGAACACCGCCTGCTATGACACATCCACTAGCTCTTCACTCTTATAAACATCCAATAGGCTTCAGTTCGTTTTAGATTCATTGTCAAAATATTGGATGCCAAAGATATGGCTAGAATTAGCAAATGTCAACCATCTTTCCTTCACAACAGTTGTTGACCACCTGTTCTTGTCACTCATTTGAAATCAAGAGTGTCATACTTTAAACAGTCTCTCTGCAGTGTCCGAATCACTTCTGGTCAGCCACAGCTATATTTAGAAAGGGGAAAAAAGCTTTCTGGAAATTCTGCCTGGAAAAATTGAATAGATAACTCCAGGCAGAAATCACTGCTATATATTTATTTCATAGGAAATGTCACTCTAAAAAAGTAAGTTTTGTATACTGCATTTAGTAGAAAAAAAAATAATGCAACAACTTAGTTTAAAAGTTAGCTCAAGAAATATCAAGCCAAGACTCAGTCAGGATTAGTTGAACACCATGCAAAGCTATCTTTCTAATGCTGTCCAGAGCCTCATCCACATGTACAAGTTTAATCTACACCTAGGGGATACAGTGCCACAGAGGCTTAATGATGCTGGAACTGCTGGCCAGAAATGGTCTGCACTCCAGCCATTTGAGACTGGCTCTGCGAGATAGGCCAAGCTCCCACTGCATGCTCCACAACTCCTGCCCACCCAGCAATTCAAAAGAACATGCTATTGCAAGTAGATAAATGGGTACCACTTCGATGGGAAAAACCTAGCTGTATTTGTGTGTGCGGAAAGCAGAAGCCAGCACTTCAGCTGGCTGGACGTAAGCCATCGCAACACAAGGTGAAGAAAGGAGAGACCGGTGGGGAAACCTCGAAGAACAGCAATTTGAGTGCCACTAGTTTGCTGGTGTAAGCTAGTTTGCCCCCTGTGGCGGACCAAGGATAGGCACGGAAGTGCCGAACAGAATAATCTAGCAATTTAGGCACTGTATCTAGCGTGTGCAGATTTCCCTGACACTGTATGCCATATGCTAAATAAATACCTACATCTAGGAGCACTGATTGATGAGCTGCTATTAGTTTGGTGGGTCACAAACGAATGCAGTATAAATATCACATTTCTAGCAGGATGCAGAGCAAGGAATTTAATTTACTTAACATTTAAAGTAGCTGACACTAAAATACATTGTGTTTTTGGCATCCACATTACACCTGAGCTACATTTTGCAGACAGTAATTTTTGACCTTGATATGCCAGAGAGGCAAAGAATAGTCACCCTTTCTCTCTCTATGATTAATCAACTTCAGGGGATTGTTTAATGGAAGCACTGACCGAGCCCTGACTAATCATTTTACAGCTGCTAGAATTTCTGGTCTGACACATGAAGGTGGTTGTATATTAAAACTCACATTTGTCACAGAGAACATCAGATTGAATCCCCCACCATGCATGGACAGATCACTTCTGGTCTTAGCAAAATTAACTGCTATGTGGGGCAGCACCCATAAGGCACCTGATGGATCTGAAGCACCTTCAGATGTTCCTTAGGATGTTTTTCAATATTCTGACAGGTTGCTGATTGTCTTTTCAGCGTGACAGTCTCAGGGAGTACATTACTTTACCGCAAATCCTCGGAAGGTGAAGCATCAGAAACAATGCCTGGGGCACCAGGAGAGAAAGACCAGGTGTGGATCTGACTGATCCCAAGATATGAGCTCAAGTAAGCAACTATAAGGCAAGAAAAGCTTTCACTTTTAATGCTTATTGTTTTTAATGTTCTCATTATTTCATGACATTGCAAACTGCCTAGAGTTGCTCAGTGTGATTGGTATGTAAATTGAATAAATAAAATAAAGGCACTATGATTTCTTCTCTCTGACTGCTTTATTTAAAAGTAATGCATTCTCTTAGGCAAGGATGAGCAGGAAGATTTCCTGCCTAGAAAGATTCGGCATCAACAGACATACACATTTAAAGCAATAATCATAACAACAGCAGACAGCTGGCAACCCTACTACTAGATTTGTCAGAGAGAGATCAGGAAAGGTTTACTAGGTTGCCATATGCTTCCCTGCAGTGAGTCAACATTCAACGTTCTAGTTTTCATACAGTGAATGAAAATAGAAACCACTATTAGATGGAATTGTACACACACGGGCAATTCAAACTGACATTTAAGTCTCTTGTATCGGATTTGTTATCTATTCCAACATTACAGTCATCTGAGTAAAACAACATAACCAAGATTAGGTTTTTTAAAAAATTGTAACGATTTCCCCCCTTAATGGTAAGAGATTAGCCTGTCCCAAGATTAGCCACTCAGAATATTTAACTGCGTAATATTTGTAGATTGATTTAGTGTGTGACCATATGGAATCTTATTTTTAAAACGGTTCAAAATAAACAATTCCAGGAGTTCTCAGAACTATTCATGTTGAAATTTATTTCATCATTATTTTATTTCCCTATCTGT